TTCATTTGCTCCCATGTGCTCTGATCAGACATGTCCCTCTCCCTGAGCTGTAGCTTCAGTGCTGTCCTCTGAAGTACATTTTGCGGGGAGGGGCTGTAGCCCTACTTTTTAATTTATATTGTTTACCCATAAAGATTTGATTGCATATCACCTCAGGTCAGATTTTCCATTCAAATGAATAAGCATGGTATTTATGATAAAGCTTTTTTTGTACTTTTGAATTTCAGAATTATAGGTAAGTGCTTGTGACCTATTTTTCAAATATATCAATTTAACTGTGTATTTAACTAAACTAGTAATTGTGGAAGACTTTCTAGAGGATTGAAAACTGCATTATTTTTTCTTTATATTACACTTAAACGCTTTGCTTTTCTCTGTTTACAAAAAGCAGTGCTGGAATAATTACTGTTAAGTTTTTCCTTTATAATTTGAATTATAAGTACTTTTAATGGTTGTTGATTATTAAATCAATAGGCTCTCCTTTTTTGAAAGCTACTATTTTTAATAGAAGTTTCCACAGGATGCAAAATCAACTTCAAGATCAGTTGCATTTCTGTATACTAGCAACGAATAACCCAAAAGTAACATTCCTAAAACATTGCATCTATAATATTGAGGAAAAATATTTCAGAATAAATTTATTATTAAGGGACAGTATTTGTATAATGATGACTACATAACAGTTGAAAGAAATAAGATCTAAATTAAAATTAAGTAAAGGGTTGAATAAACATGTCTCCAGAGTAGATAAACAAATAGTCTATTAGTACGTGAGAAATTGCTCAAAACCTTCAATCGAATGAATATTCAAGAAAGGCAAACCAGAATAAAATAAAATCATACTCACTTAAATAGCTAAAATTAAAACAACTTAAAAACTCACTGCCATTGCGTGTATTCCTACTTAGAGTGAGCCTATAGGACTATAGGACAGTGTAGAATGTCCTCTGGGTTTCAGAGACCAGAGGCGAGTAGAAAGCATTACCTTTATTCAGTGGAACATTATGTAGCAATAAAAAGTGAAGCACTGATACCTGCTGTAGTACTTGAGCCTTTGAAATAACTAAATGGAAGAATCCGATTCCAAAAGAGGATGTACTATATAATTGAATGTCTGGAATAGACAAATCCATAAAAAGAAGAGAGAGGATATGTATAGTGACTGAAAAATGAGTATGGAGTTTTTTTGGGGGGGATCATGAAAATATTTTCAAATGAGACTGGTGATTGCACAACACTAGTTATTTTTTTATATTCCTGGTAGTTATGTTCTATATGTTCATTTTGAAACACTAATCAAGAAAATACTGAATATTGTTAGGAGAAATACAAGGAGACTTCAAACAATTTGTGGACTAAATTGATTTAAAAGGTAATTAAAATAGTCCATGATCCCTTTAAAGCTTCGTTACAGGTTTAGGTTCCTGTAAGTACTGGATCAGAAAACTTTTATCAACTGATCAATATTTAACTTTGTTTTTTATGCTGCTTTTTTTAAAAGACACAATATATACGAAGACCTTCAAGATGTTCTTGGAAAAATTAAATGGAAAGATACTGTATATGCTCGAGTATAAGCTGACCCAAATATCAGCTGAGGCACCTAATTTTACCACAAAAACTGCATTAAGATTGTGCTGGAAAACTTATACTTGAGTAAATATGGTAATAGATTTTTTCCAAAAACTTTTTTAAGCCCCTTGTATTATTGATTCATTAACCTTAAACTTTAAAACAACACAAACTAAAGCTCGAGCAAAGCTAACTTTACATGTATTTTCTCTGTGAGGCCCATCAGTCTTTTTCTTAGGCACATTTAGATCATCGATGCTATCCCTGGGACCATTTTAAACAAAAGTGACCAGTAACAAATGAAAAAGGGGAGGCAGCATTGAATCCAACACAAATGGGCACTATTTACAGAATGAAAGTTGACTGTTGCACCTTAGAGAAGATAAAGCTGTCACTGTTTGGATGATGGCATTTTTAAGTTGGTGGAAAGTGGGGGCAAAGGCTTTGTTCTGAACTTAATCCAGTAGAAAAACCAAACAAAACGTGCCATTGAGTCGATTCAGACGCACAGTGACTCTTACGTGGCAGACTGCAGAATTGCCTCTAGGTTCCAAATCTTTATAGGAGCAGAAAGCCTCATCTTTCTCCCACAGTGTGGTTGGTGGGTTCAAACTGCTGACAATGTGGTTAGCAGCCCAGTGCATAACCAGGATTCCAAAGCAGCTGAGAGCCTGGTGAAAAGTTTTATTCTTTAAACAGCAATTGTCATCTCAGTGATAATCTATAGGCTGCATTGCATAGGATATCTTCTGAGTTATGTCATGAAGATTGTTTCCTGAACATTGAATATGTCTTTAAGCTATTACACGTAAGTAGTAGATTTGGTAGTATTTCTTCTTTGCACGGTTCCCAGTTAAATGCAGATGTGCTATTCTTTAATAGTGTCTGTGGTCCATGCAGATGAAGAAAACATGAGAATGTATTGAAATTGCACAAAATTTGTTCAGTTTAAAGGGCTATTTAATTGTGAAGTTACTTCCTTCAAATTTTAGGAGATTATTAAAGTACCCTTTATAAAGTTCAGGATGAGCTACCAAACTCATAGCAATCCTGGAGGACAAAGTAGAATGGGCCCTGTAGGTTTCTCACACAATCCTTGTCTTTCTTCCTTGGAGCAGTTAGTGATCTGGGTCTGCTGACCCTGCTGTTAGCAGCCAAGTGTGTGGCCCACTATGCCGCCAGGGTTCCTCTAGGATTGGGCTTATAGGTGGCATTAACTAGGTTAGATGTCCTACTCATCAAAAGAAAAATAGTGTTTTCATGTGGATTCCAGTTTATTTTTGATCATCCCTGAAATCCAAAGATCTTATCATTGTTGGCCTGTGGAATAGAATGGTGGTGGTGGTGGTAGTCAGCATTTATTTGATTCTGACTTACAGCACCCCTTTCTGTGCAGAGTAGAACTCCATTGGATGATTTCAAACCACCAGCCTTTCTGCCAGTTAGCCATTAATAATAATTTTATTTTTTGTGTTCACTCTAGTGTATTGATTGGGATTCTGTGGAATAGAGCATGTGAGACAAACTTTGTGCTAAACTGGAGTGCTGATTTCAATTAGCAAAATAATAGGAACAAAGGATGATGACATGCTTTATGTATCATTCTGATCTATCCCTTACCTGCTTTTCTAGTTTTGTGTCTTCTGCTTTTCATTCAGTGGATATGAGACTTCAAAAAGTTTGTGGGGAAATTCCATGATCTTTTCATTCTGTTGGTCCACAAATATTTTGAAGCCCACTGGGTATATCTTCAAGGGGTCTCATGAGCTGATGTTGTTTGCTGAGTGCATCCAGTATGCATTTTATAATCGAAGCACAATAGAAGGTCAGATAACAATTTCTTAGAAGAATTTGCATGTAGAATGGTCTTTATGAAATCCCATCTGTCACTTTTTCTGTGTCCTTTTTTGATTCTGAGACATTAGGCTTACTCTTTTCTATAAGACTTTCAGCATACTCTCATTTATAAAAATAATTATTATTTAATGCCTGTATACTAGACTCTTTGAAGGAATACATACATATTTGTGCTTTCATAGTCAAACCGTGATTGTTAGATTAACGCAGAGTGAATTTAGGGCTTATAACACATTCTCTTTTGTCAAGCAAGATATTACTTTTTTTTAAATTGTGAAATTTTTTTTTTTTTAAACATTTTATTAGGGGCTCATACAACTGTTGTCCCAATCCATACACACATCAATTGTGCAAAGCGTATTTGTACATAGTTTCTCAAAATATTTTCTCTCCATTTAAACCCCCCGACATTAGGTCCTCATTTTTCCCCTCCCTCCCCGCTCCCCCCTCCC